ACATGATCTCACTTATATACGGAATATAATGAACATAACAGTCTGAGGAATACACTAGACCCAGACACATGGAAGTAGGGCACAGACTGACATCCCTCAGAAGAGGGGATGGGGGGTGGGGGGGTGGGAAGAGATAAACCACAGAACTTATATGCATGTATGCATGACCAATGGACATGGACAACTAAGCCGGGGACAGGGTGGAGGGGGGGTGGGGTAGGGGGTGCCAATGGGGTAAAAAGGTAAAATATCTGTAACAAAAAAATAAATAAAAATTCATTAAAAATGAATGTTTTTCATATGTGCCAAGCCCCTCCCTGCCTGTTCCATCTCCTCTCACTCTCCGTCTGTGACTCGGGAAGACCATGGCAGCCTCCGGCTCTTTGTTTGAAGTCTTTCCTGTCTCCAGATCTTTGCACAGTTGACTCCTTTTTGCCACTCATGTCTTAGCTCCAAAGTCACCTTCTGGAGAGGCTCCCCTGATCATGCTCTATGAAGTGGCTACGCTCATCTCAAGTCACTATCACATTATTTTGTATTTTTCCTCCATACCCCTTCTGACTATCTGAAATTCTCATTTGTTTACATGTTGTTTCTGCATTAGAATGCAAGGCTTTTGTCTGTCTTTTTTTAAAAATCCTCACCTGAGGACATTTTTGTATTTATTTTCAGATAGAGCAGGAGGGAGAGAGGGGGGAAGAGAGAGAAACATCCATGTGAGAGAGACACATCGACTGGTCACCACCCACATGACCCCAAATGGGGTGGAGACAAACTGCAACTGAGGTACATGCTCTTAGCTGGAACCAAACCTGGGACTCTCTGGTCCGCAGGCCGACTCTCTAACAGCTGAGTCAAACTGGCCAGGGCTTGTCTGTCTTTTTTACCTTCTAGAACAGTGTATGGTATAGCATATTCACAATGAAGATGTGTTGAATGGATAAATTATCTCTTGTTAAGCTATGCAAGGCATCTTCAAGGAATAAACTCTCCATTCAGATTCTGGAAATACAGTCACATACATAAATGTATCGCATGCCATATTTTTACCAGCCCCTCTCGTGATATGAATTGCATACCATTATTTGTTTGTACTTTATTGTAAAGAACACTAGACTGAGAATGAAGACTCCTAGATTCTAGCCTTGATCCTGTCACTAACTGTAAGACACTATACCTTTGGGTTCAGTAATTCCATTTCTAGAAATTTATCTCAAGGAAAAAAGATGGACATGTGCACAAATATACACGGGGGGAGGGGGGCAAAAGTAGGCTTACAGTTGTGAGTACGTGAAACAGAGTTTATTCTTGTATTATTATTTGTCATTGTGTTATTTTCCATACACACAACTGTAAACCTACTTTTGCCTCACCTTGTATGCATCAGGCTCATCCATTGTATTAAAAAACAATAAAAATTGTGAGGAAGATAATGTGGCTTTATCTTCACAATGGGGCTTTGGCCAAATGGACAGTGATTTATCCATCAATGTCACACTGTGAATTCATCTGAAAATGATGATTGTATTCATTTTTTAAACGTATTCAATAAATGCTCACTGAGTACTTGCTGAGCATGTAGCAGTAAATGAAACAAAGGCCCTACACTCATGAACACTATTTTGACGGGGAAGAAAGACTAAACATAAATAAATAAATATACGACATGACATGGTATCAGAGGATAAGTTCTACAAAGGAAGCATAATGCATAGTAAGGGGATTGGGCGCATCCCCTAGGAGAATTACTGGGATGTGCTATTTTATATAGAATGGCAAGGGGAGACTTCTCTGAGAAGCATACATTTGACCGAAGGCCTGAATGAAGTCAGGAAGTGAGGCATGTGAATATCTGTGGAAAGAGTTCCAAGCAAATGCAATGGCCTGAGGTAGAAGTATGCTTGGCAGTCTATTTTTTTATCCTCACCCGAAGACATTTCTGCATTCATCTTTAGATAGAGCGGGAGGGAGGGAGGGAGGGAAGAAGAAAGAGAGAGAAACATCGACGTGAGAGAGACACATTGAGTGGTTGCCACCCACACGACCCCAACCAGGGCCGGGGACAAACTGCAACTGAGGTACGTGCCCTTAGCGGGAACCAAACCTGGGTCTCTCTGTACTGCAGGCCGATGCTCTAACCACTGAGCCCAACTGGCCAGGGTGCTTGGTGATTTTGCGAGAAAGATATAAAGCCTGTAGCTGGGAAGAGTGAGCAAGGAAACAAAAAATGGTAGGAAATATGATTGGATAAATAGCCAAGGACTGGATTTTGTAGGGCTTTATATAGGCTATTGTGAGAACATTTGATTTTATTGTAAATGTAATAGAATACCTTGAACAATTAAAAAAATTTTTTTATTGATTTTAAAGAGATAGAAAAGGAGAGGGAGAGAGAGATAGAAACATCGATGAGAGAGAACATCGATTGGCCACCTCCTGCATGCCCCCCACCGGGGATCAGGCCCACAACCTGGGCATGGGCCATGGCTGGGAATTGAACTGGCAACCTCCTGATACATGGGTTGATGCTCAACCACTGAGCCACACCGGCCAGGCAATACCTTGGACAATTTTTAATAGAGGCGTGGTCAGATCTGTCTTATATTTTAAGACCACGTGGTCAGTAGGCTAAGGAAGGACAAAACCGAAAGCAAGGAAGTCCAGGGGAGATCATGGTGGCATGGAGTAGGACCATAGCATGAGGATGGTGAAAATCAGTATACTGTATTTTGGACTTTTACTTATTTCTAAATAGAACTCATACGAAAGGCTGGTATGGTAGTTTTGAAGGTGTATGAGAGAGAGTAGTAAAAGATGAATCTTTAAGTTTTGAGCCTTTGCAATTGAGTAAAGTGCAATTGAGAAAAGATGTGTAATATTGTTGGATAAGAAGGTCTCAGTACAAAGGAGAAAGTATTGTCAGGGCCTGGATACCACCTGGATAACATCCCACTAAGAAGCGAGAACTGTCCTGGCCTGTTTGGTTCAGTGGTTAGAGCATTGGCCCTCCGACTGAAGGGCCGTGGGTTCAATTCCCAGTCAAGGGCATGTACCTGGGTTGTGTGGCAGGCAACCAATTGATGTGTCTCTCTCAAATCGATATTTCTCTCTCTCTCTCTCGCCCTCTCCCTCCCTCCCTTCCACTCTACCTAAAAATCAATGAAAAAAATATCCTTGGGTGAAGGTAACAAACAAACAAACAAACAAACAAAAAAATTGAGAACTGAGTCCTGGGTCAATTCAAATGATCACATGTACTAAATGCTACTAAGTAAAATGAGGTCACAGGTATAGGTCACATTTGTCTCAGTTGTAGGGAGAAAAGCCTGATTGGAGTGTGCTCAAAAATGAATGAATTTCTTCAACAAATAAATTATGGGGGGGGGGGGGGCAGAATTGAGATGAGAGAAGGAACCTATAGGAACCTATAGATTAAAACATAATTAAAGGACACATTAGCCAGTCACAACACATTAGCCAGTCACAAAGGGAAGGAATTTATTGACTCCTGAGGCAATTGGTATCCAAATACTGATTTGACTTTGGTGATGATATTGAATAATTATTAATTTATTTCAAAATGAGTTCTGTGGTTATGCGAAAAAATAAAAGTCCTTATCTTTTAGAGATGCATGTTGAATGAAATAATGTCAATGGGTAAATAATTGTTGAAGTTGGGTAATGAAAACAACATTCTCTCTACTTTTTTGTTTCTGTGAACCCTGAGAAGGAAAATATTTGCTGAGAAGGACCCCTTGTGATTAACTGGACCCAAATTCATAACCAGAATCTAGCAGTCACTGCTGACAGAGTCCTCTCACCTATTCTGCATTTCAGAGGAAAGCCACAGACTGAGCTGCTAGAGTCTTGTACTGTGTTCCTGTGTATGAATCAACCCTTATAAAGGAGTTCTTGGTATAGCCTTTGCACCAATGGGCTGATACTTGCCCAGTGCACAGCTGTATCCTCATTTGTACCTTTAGTGTCCAGAGAGCTCTATTACAACCAATCAGAATGAGTAATTCTGACCAATCACGACAGTGCTACTTGGACCAATCAGACTGTGCAGATTTGGATTCCTCATTTGCATACAAATGGACCAATCAGGGACTAGGGCGGGAACTTCCTCTATAAAATGCTGCCTCCTGCTTGCTTCGAGGGAGCATTTTCCTTTCAAGTGGGTGTTGTGTTTCCCGCTTTTGTAAACTGTTTCCCTGAATAGCTTCTCATGTTAGGGCACCCGGGACTGCACACTCCTGTGGCATTAAGTTGGTGGCAGAGACGTTCTATTGAAATTTGGAATGCTCCATAAGAAGATTTTAAAAATGAATTATTTTAAAGAGGTAAAGTTGAGAACTTTAATCAGAATAACTGCAGCATGCTCTTGTAAGTTTCTCGTGAATGTATAAATTTGTGACACTACTCATGAAAATAACCTTCCAAAGAGATCTTTAAGTCTGATTTTTTAATTGGCTAATTTGTTGCCTAGAAATAGAATAGACATCTTTGAATGTCTAAACAAAAATAAAAGTGAACGGATGGTGAAGAAATGGAAATTAAGTTCATATTCATTTCCAATCACGGTGGCAAATATTTTCAGGTTAAAAATATTTTAATAGTATAGAATCCAATCTCATTTTTAGAAAGTGTTTTTGACAGGTTACAGTCGACATAATTTTTAAAAATATGTGCTTATCTATATTTTCGAATTTTTATGTAAGATCTGTAGATACCTTGTTTAATTTTAAGCGTTAAAATAAAAAGAAGGACAGGGCACTACCACCTGCTACTCTCACCAACAGAAAGTAGAGGTACTGCTGCATTTTAACGCCGCCCCGCGCCAAGCCGTCAAATTTCGGGAGGGCGGACCGCAATGGGTGGGAGAGAAAAGGTGTGCGCATGCGCAGCAGCGTGCCACGGTCTAAGGTAAGTCTCGGTTAAAGGACAGCTCTTTCAGCCAATAAAGAGACAGCATGGTTGGCTTTTTCCGGGAGGAGGACGCCGGAAGTTGGACTTCGCCTGCGGTGGGAAGGCGGCTACCAAAGTAAACGCAGAGCTGAGGTGAGTGGGCGGCGACGGTTTGGGGCTCCGTTCTGCGCTCTTCCCTCTTTCCGGACCCCGCAGCTGCGTCAGGACGGACTGGGAATCGGGGAGGCCTGGGGCGGAGGGCGCTCGCTCCCCTCCCTCCCCCGCCGCCCTCAGCGCGGCCTCCCGCCACTGGCGGAGCCGCGGGCGGACACCCGGCGGGTTCGGGCTGCCTCCGTGTGGGGGCCGCGCCGGACCGCAGGTGGGGAGACCTGGCTTGCGAAGCCGTGGCTGTGGCCAGTCGGCCGCCTCTGGTCTCGGAAATGAGAAGGCCGTCCCTGCCCGTCCTCCTGAGCAGCCCTGCCGTCGCTGAACTAACTGGGGGCGGGACGGGGGCGATGGATCCCACGCCTGACCGTCGAGTCCACTGGAGCGGGTTTCCCACCACTCTAGCAGCCCCATTCCCCGCAGACAAAGCATCGGATCCTTGGGGGGTGGGACCCCGGTAGCCCATCGCCTTGGAAAGCTCAGTCCGGAGAAGTGACGAGAAATCGACATAATCCCGGCCCTCGGTCAAGTTCGAAGCTTTACGGGAGCTTGTGCGGTGCCGGGAAAGGGTCGGGGATGGTTCCTGCTCCGTGCCAGTCGCCAGCCCCCCGTCTGGTGCCAGAACGCCCGTCTGAGACCGGGATCCCTGCCGCTAGCGTGCTCTCGGGAGTAGCACTGAACTGAGCATGGTTAGGAGGGTGAAGAGTGGGTGTGGAACCCGGAGTCACGCACTCGGCCTTCGGAGGACGGCGCCTCAGCTCGAGTGCAGCTGGGGCCGGGGCGCGAGACAGGACAGCCCGAACGGCGTGGGTGGGTGACTCCGAAGTACCGGAGGTGCCAGCTCCCCGATGGTGGTAATCATGTCCAGGCTGCTGTGTTAGGGGGTAAAGGGACGAGAGACCAGTGAGGCAAATGAGGGAACATGGTAAAATTTGGAGATCTGCATGAAGAATACGGAACGTTCTTTGTACCATTCATACAACGTTTCTGTAAGGCTGAGTTTACGTTAAAACGTTTTAAAGGGTCGATTATAACTGTTTGCAGCTGTCATAAGTTTGTAAATAAGTGAAGCGGTACACAATATTTATACCCCCCCCCCGCCCCCACACACATCTCCTGTATTTTCACCCCTTTTTCCTTAATGGCTGTATTGTGGTATATGGACATATTTTATTCAGCCCTCATTGATGAAATAATGCGTGGATTCCAACTTTCCCTACTCTTTTCAAATAGTGCTGCATACACATTTTTGAGTATACTTGTACCATTATTTTTATAGGATAAATTTCTAGAAATAGAATCGTTGATGTCCAGTGGACATAGACAACAGTGAGGGGAGAGCAGGGATCGGGAGGAGGGTGTCATGGGGGGAAAGGAGAAACATCTGTAACAGAAATAAAATCAGAAAGACATCTTAAAAATAAATAGAATGGGAGTAGGGAAAAAAGAATTGTTGGTTCAAAGAATATTAGTGTTAATATTTTTGATACTACCAAATTAAATTCCAAATATGTATTTATTTGTTGTGTATGAGAATTCCCATATTCTCCAGGGTGGTACTGGCCTACCACCTAAGAGTGTTACGTGGTGGTTGTGATGCTGGCTTCTATGAGAGCTGAGGTGAGTGGATGCTTTCTACCCCAGAAGGCTTCCCTGAAGGGCCAGGAGAGCTAAAAGCCTGCTTCTGAAATTGGGATGATCGCCCTGAAGAAACTGAGAGGAAGGAGAGAGTGACCTGCTGGAGTCCAGGGCCTGCCACCTAGAAGGTGTTTTTATATTTGTTGAATAATGGAATATTTGAAATCTTGATAGTTTGTTAGATGAAAAATATCCTTTTTAAAATTTGATTTAAAAAGTATATTAGCCTGAATATTTCCCCACCTTTACATATATATATATATATATATATATATATATACACACATATATTAGCAAACTTTTTTTTTATCCTCACCTGAGGACCTTTTTTTCCATTTTTTGTTTAGATAGAGTGGGGGAGAGAGAGAGAGAAACATCGATGTGAAAGGGACACATCGAGTGGCTGCCACCCGCATGACCAACCAGGGCAGGGGACAAACTGCAACTGAGGTACGCGCCCTTAGCGGGAACCGAACCCAGGTCTCTGGTCCACAGGCCGATGCTCTAACCGCTGAGCAAAACCGACCAGGGCCAAACTTTTTTTTTTTTAATTTATTGATTTAAGAGACAGAGAGAAACATCTGACTTGTTCCACTTATTGTGCATTCATTGGTTGATTTTTGTACGTGCCCTGACTGGGATTGAACTCATTACCTTGGCATATCAGGACAACGCTCTAACCAACTGAGCTACCTGGCCAGGGCATCCCATCTTTATTTAGCATTTGCATTTTCCTTCTTATCTTTCGCCTGTTTTTTTTTTTTTATCCTCACCCGAGGACATTTTTCCATTTTTTTGTTCAGGTAGAGTGGGAGAGAGAGAGAGAGAAACATTGACGTGAAAGGAACACATCAAGTGGCTGCCACCCGCACAACCGACCAGGGCCGGGGACAAACTGCAACCGAGGTACGCGCCCTTAGCGGAAACCGAACCCAGGTCTCTCAGGACCACAGGCCGACGCTCTAATCGCTGAGCCAAACTGGCCAGGGCCGCCTGTTTTTTTTTAAATGTAGGTTTGTTTGTTTGTTTTTATCCTCACCCAAGAACATTTTTTTATTTTTTGTTCAGATAGAGTGGGAGGGAGAGAGAGAGAGAAATATCAATGTGAAAGGGACACATCAAGTGGCTGCCTCCCACACGACCCAACCAGGTCTGGGGACAAACTGCAACCGAGTTACGTGCCCTTAGCGGGAACCGAACCCGGGTCTTTCTGGACTGCAGGCTGATGCTCTAACTGCTGAGCAAAGCTGGTCAGACTTTTTTAAGACTCTTTCAGTGGACCTCTGTAGAGGATCTGGCGCCTTGTAGGCATTGTTTGAGATGCTGGAGGTAGAGTTGTGAACAAGACAGGCATTTCCTAAAGTCATGGTGCTTTCCTTTTAGTGGGGATGGAGTCAGAAAATATGTTTTTTAAAAATTAGCCGTGGCAGGTTTTCTCAGTGGTTAGAGCATCAGCTGTCGGAGCAGAGAGTCCGGGGTTCGGTTCCTGCTAAGGGCAGGTACCTTGGTTGCAATTTGTCTCTGGCTCTGGTTGGGGTTGTGTGGGTGGCAACCATTCGAATGTGACTCACTCACGTCGATGTCTCTCTCTTTCTCCCTTTCCACTCAATCTGAAGATAAATACAAAAAAAAAAAAAGTTAAAATAGCCCTGGCTGGTTTGGCTCAGCAGTGGAGTGTCACCCGCTGACCAGAGTCGAGGATTCGATTCCAGTCAAGGGCATGTGCCTTGGTGTGGTTCAGTCCTGGCCCTGGTAAGGGTCATGTGTGGGAGGCAACCAATCCATGTCTCTCTCTCTCTCTCTTACTCTATCTAAAGATAGAAATGGAAAGGAGTATCCTTGAGTGAGGATTTAAAAACAAAGAAATAAGTAATAAAAATAAAGTTTTTAGTATTTGCCCTTTGTTTTTTTTTCTCTTTATTGATTTTAGAGAGAGAGGAAGGGAGAGGGAGAGAGAGATAGAGACATTGATGAGAGAATATCGATTGGCCGCCTCCTATATGCCCCCCACTGGGGATTTGGCCCACAACCTGGGCACATGCCCTGACTGGAAATTGAACTGGCCACCTCTTGGTGCATGGGTCAACCACTCAACCACTGAGCCACACCAGCCAGGCAGTATTTGCCCTTTGTTAGCTTGCAAGCATTTTTATCTCAGAAAAATGGGGTTGCATGTTAATTTTGCTTGTGATATATTTTTCTACATTGAATTTTTAGATTTATTTATTTATTTCTATTAAACTTATTTGGGTGACATTGGTTAATAATAACATTATGTTTCAGGTGTTCATCTTCTGTAATACGACCTCTGTGTACACCATTGCCCACCATTCAAAGTCTAGTTTCTAAGTATTTGATCCTTTACTCTCTTTGTCCTTCCCCTACTCTCCTTCCTCTCTGGTAACCACCATTCTGTTATGTTAAATTTAGTTTTGGTAGTCACATCTGTTTTTTTTTGTTTTTGTTGTAGTAGTCTTAAAACTTGTAGTTATTTCCTTGATAGATTGTAAGGAGAACTAGGATGAAGATAGTTTTGTTTTGTTTTTTCTGTTTGTTTCGTTTTTTTATCTTTGAAAGGTAGTATAGTGTAGTATTTGAGATCTTTAGACTCTGGATCCTTTCTCTACTACTTACTCTGACTTAACACAAGCGGCTCAACCTTTCTGAGCCATAGTTATCTCTAAAATGGAAAGAATACCTTTCTTTTCTCAGATTTCTCAGAACCATGCAAAAAGTATTTAGAACAGTGTCTGGTTTATAGTATGCACTCAGATATCTGTCATCATAATCATTATTCCTGGATACTCATTATCATATCATATATTGACAAATATATGAAAGAATGAACACACATTAAGGACATTTGTATCTAATTCCAAATTCTCGTTGACTTGGAGCCCTCTTGAGATGGATGGAGCTGCTCAACAAATATTTACGAAGCTTCTATGTGCAAGGTTGTGGACATAGTGAGAACTATGATAGTCAAGATTTTTTTCCCTCATGGAGCTTATCGTCTGGTTGAGGAGGCAAATCAGATACTGATACAGAGAATTAATGCTGGAAGGCAGTATCTGCTTTTGATGAATAATCAGAACTATTTCTGTAAAGGTAATATTTTAAGCTAGTGCCTGAAGCAGGAAGAAAAACATGGAAAGAACCAAAAGCAGAAGAGGTTATTAAAGAATTGTGTAAGAATACTAGATTGAAGACAGTATTGCTAGTATATAAGGGAAAAGGGATTTGGTATGAGAAGAATTATGCTGGCTATATACATAAAAGGGCAGTAGTGAAAACAAAACGGCGCCTGGGGAAACAATTGTATTGCAGGCAAGAGGGAATGGTGAATTGGTCATACTTGATGAATTTGAGATAGCGAAGGTGAGGAATCAACAGAACTTTGTAAATTTGACAGAGATGGGGGAGAAGAGGAGGTTGATAAAAGTGGAGGATTAAGATAATCTAGGTTTCTGGCTTGAAACAGTAGGTAGATAATGGGAACATTTTATTGAGATAGGGAAGATTAGAAGCTGGGAGGAATAGGTTTAGACTGTATGTATATATAGGGGATAATAAGTTTGGGCACCCCCTGAGACATCCAGAAGGAGCTCAGAGGCAATCTGGACTGGAGATGTAAAGAGTCATAAACGTAGACCAGGGTTTTTGTACTTTGACAGAATGTATTGACATTTTGGACTGAATAATTCTAAATTGGGGAGGGCTGTCCTGTGCATTCCTTAAAAAAATTTTTTTTTTTTTTGCCTTTATTGATTTTAGAGAGAGAGAGAAACATTGGTGAGAAAGAACATTGATTGGCCGTGTCCTGCATGTCCCCCACTGGGGATTGGGCCCACAACCTGGGCGTGTGTCCTGAATGGGAATCGAACCTGCGACTTCTTGTTGCATGGGTCAGTGCTCAACCACTGAACCACACCGGCCGGACTGTCCTGTGCATTCTAAGTGTTTAGTAGCATCCCCACTCTCTACCCATTAGATGCCACTAGCACCCCTTCTTCCAGTTGTGACAATTAAAATTTCTTCACACTTTGACATATGTCTCCTTGGTGGGCAAAATTGACCCTTGTTGAGAACTACTGATAGAAATTAAAAGCTGTGTTGCCCTGGCCGGTTTGGCTCAGCGGTTGGAGCGTCGGCCTGCGGTACAGAGAGACCCAGGTTCGGTTCCCGCTAAGGGCACGTACCTTGGTTGCAGTTTGTCTGCGGCCCTGGTTGGTCGTGCAGGTAGCAGCCACTCGATGTGTCCCTTCACATCGATGCTTCTCTCTCTTTCTCTTCCTCTCTCTCCCTCCCACTCTATCTGAAAAAAAAATGGAAAAATGTCCTCGGGTGAGGATAAAAAAAAAAAAAAAAAAGCTGTGGATGCCCAGCCATTGTAGCTCAGTGGTTGAGCATCGACCCATGACCAAGAAGTCACCAGTTTGATTCCCAAGCAGGGCACATGCTCGGATTGTGGGCTTGATTCCCAGTGGGGGACATGGAGGAGGCAGCCAATCGATAGTCTTTCTCATTGATGTTTTCATCTCTTTCTTCCTTCCTGTCTCTAAAAAAAAAATCAATAAAACATATTTTTAAAAAATAAATAAAAGCTATGGAGTTGACTGTGATCACTCAATAGAGAATATAAAGCAGAGGTCTAAAACTAGTGGCCACCATACCACCAAGATTGTTGTAGTTACGTTTTTTTTTTTTTGACCCCACAGTACTTGACAATCTCTGGGTTAATTAGAAGTATTTAAAATTTGAGAGATCATATACTAATATTGGAACAATGCAGAGAAGATTAGCACAGCCCCTGCACAAGGATGACACACACATTTGTGAAGCGTTCCATATTTAAAAAGAAAAAATAGGTTTTTAAAAATCTGTGTTTTTGCCCTCCCTTGAAAAATTAAGAAACTAATGAACAATGTGTCTTCATTCCCACATGAATGCTAATGGCTGGAGGTTTTGAAATCTGGCATGTGAGTGCTTAGTTCACTCTAATTCCTGCCCCACCGTGCTTCACTCTTTATGTTGCCTGCCTTTTCCCCTTGGTATTTAAGTTTGTGAATCCCTAATTTAGAGAGAAGAGGGCCCAGGAAAATACTTTGAGACATCATATGTCTCATAGTGTGTTCAAATTTAAAAAAGAAAATTGTTTTATTTCATCCTCTATATACATATAGTCTAAACCTATTTCTTCCACTTTTTGCTCTTCCCTATCTCAATAAAATGTCCCCATTATCCACATCAACATTAAAGTTGGGTAGAGAAAGAGAAGCAGTATAGGAGACTGAGGGAGTGGTTAGTGAGGTAGGAGGAAAACATAAATGTAGGTTCACAGAAGCTGAGGTGGGGAAAGGGAGTATGTTGAAAAGGTAGAACATGCTGCTAATAGGTTGAGTAACACCATCTTAAAATATATCCAGTGGACTTGGTCCTGTGGTGATTGTTGATGACCTTGATGAGCAGTTTTTGTGGAAGTAGGAGGTTGAAGCCAGATTGAATGATGACAAAAATGAATATGTAGAAGGCTAGTAAAGCAGTGAATAGTTGGCTGGAATAGTTAGGGTCACTCATGATGCCCATGTCCACTGTCTCATCGATTCTCAGCAGCATTCTCTCTGTCTCTGTGGCTTGGTGGAGACTAAGGGATGACCCACAGCTGCCCTTAGAACTTCACAAATCCCAAGTATAAAACTGCCTCCAGTATATTACTTACCATCTTTGATGTTAGGTGGTGGTTAATATCTTGAAAATCTGGTAAGATCAGCCTAAAAGAGCACTTGAGATCTTATTTTATGCTTTACCTAAGCTTAAAATGAAATAGATGTTATTGTGGCCATAGAAGATACATTTGAGTTTGAAATTTCTGTGGTAGAAGTAGAAAAATTGTGGAGTACCTTGCAGAAAAATAAGGGATGGAATTGGATCATCATTTTATCATAGAAGCCCAGAGGATATCAGCAGTCTGGAATATAGCAATGTAAATTTTATCAAAGTGTTAGAGTTATAAATGTTTGCTTTTGGAAATCAATCTATAATATAAAGCAAAAGGGTGACATGAGGTGGGGAGACAGCGTGTGGGTAGTTTGGCTTTGGAGAGGAGTAGAGAAATGGGGTATAACTAGTGAGGTGTGGAATCTAGAAGTTTTCTTTGTAGGTGATAATGTACTGCAGCATATTTTTCTGTGCCAGTGAAAGTATTAAGTAGAGAAGGAAAGTATTTGGATGGTTAGAATAAGATGGCAGCTCTTCCCCATTGTAAATGTTAGTTTTCAAAACTAAGGAGATCGTTTTATTCTGGGCCCCCAATTGCTAGGGTGGAAAAAGGAAAAGATTCTGTCTGTACCCATTGTGACAGGTTTATTTTGTGGAGGTACTCTAAATCTTTGATCTATTTCTCTAGGTTCTTGATCTTCTACAATGGGTGAGCCACAGCAAGTGAGTGCCCTTCCACCACCTCCGATGCAGTACATCAAGGAGTATACGGATGAAAATATTCAGGAAGGCTTAGCTCCCAAGCCTCCACCTCCAATAAAAGACAGTTATATGATGTTTGGCAACCAGTTCCAGTGTGATGATCTTATCATCCGCCCTTTAGAAAGTCAGGGCATCGAACGGCTTCATCCTATGCAGTTTGATCACAAGAAAGAACTGAGAAAACTCAATATGTCTATCCTTATTAATTTCTTAGACCTCTTAGATATCTTGATAAGGAGCCCTGGGAGTATAAAACGAGAAGAGAAGCTAGAAGATCTTAAGCTGCTTTTTGTACATGTGCATCATCTCATAAATGAATACCGACCTCACCAAGCAAGAGAGACCCTGAGGGTCATGATGGAGGTGCAGAAACGTCAACGCCTTGAAACAGCTGAGAGGTTTCAAAAGCATCTGGAAAGAGTCATTGAGATGATTCAAAATTGCTTGGCTTCTTTGCCTGATGATTTGCCCCATTCTGAAACAGGGATACGAGTAAAAACTGAACCAATGGATGCTGATGATAGCAATAGTTGTACTGGACAGAATGAACAACAAAGAGAAAATTCAGGTCATCGGAAAGATCAGATTATAGAGAAAGATGCTGCGTTGTGTGTTCTAATTGATGAAATGAATGAAAGACCATGAAGAAATTTTTGTTGTTTTTCTTTTTTTCCTTTCAATAAATAGCGTCATATATTAGTTCATTTGCTCTTGGAGAGTCTTAAAAAAGATATAATTAGGAGTTATGTAAATGGCTTTACTCTCCAACTTTATCAATTATGAGATGTCACAGGCAGTAATTTCACTTTATGGCAAGCATAGGCAAATGAGTATGACTACATTAAAAGGAGTCAATTTAAAAAGCAAAGAGCTGCTGTTGTGTGGAACATTCCTGTTTCTGGAGTTGCACTAAACATTGAAGATAATCCTCAGTAATAGCAAACTTTAATCCTTGAAAAGTAGATTTGTCATTTGCTTTAAGAATGATAAATAAAGGATATTAAACTATGAATACGAAAATTTTATATTTATTTAAAAAATTTGCTTAGTCGCTAAAAAAGTATTATAACATGTTAAAAGAGAGGAACCCCATAGTGTTATAAAACAGCAATTTTATTTTTCTTCTTGATTACTCCTGTAAATACACTATCTTAACGAACCTTGCTCCTATCCTGGATGGGTCCCATACATTTTGTAGTCACTAAGATAAGTCCTTTAATCACTTTTAGTTGCAACAATTTGTTTCAGTAATTAAAATGTTTATGTAATTAGCTGTTCATTTCCTTTAAAATTCAATTTATACTGCTTAAAGCTGAAAGCCTGCAATGGAAGTGGATTTTGATGGCAGAATCTATTAGATTTTCACTGAAAATTGTATCTCCCCTGTGATACGTTGTTGAGATAAGGTTGCCCTGCCAGGGACTACATTTCCCCACTCCTCTTGCACATCTATGTAAGGCCACATGACTAAATCCTTAGCAGTGGAATATGAGGGTAAAAATCCAGGCCTGCCTTATAAAAATTTCTTGCATTGGCCTTCATTCTGTTCTCATCTGTTGGTTGGATGGCCACACCCAGGATAGCTTTAACATTTCAAAGATGGTAAAGGTTCAGTCAATTTGGTTCCTTGAATGACTGAAGACTAGGCCCTCCTTTCATTAACTCCACCCCCCACACACCCAATCCCTGCTGATTTGACTTTATCTGAGCAAGAAGTCACCTTGTTTTGATCACAGATTTTATTTCTGTATTGTTCTCTTTCCTCTAACTCTCCACCAAAGTCTTGGTGGAGACTCTGCCTTGTATCTGAGGTTCTCTGCTGGCCTTTTTCTTAATGTAGTCCAGTGGTTCTCAAAGTATAGTCTTGGACTAGCAGCATTAGCGTCACTGGGGGCCCTGTTAGAAATGCAAATTCTCAGGCCTTACTCCAGACCTACTAAATCAAACTGTAGGGGTGGTCCCCAAGAAACTGGTTTAATAAGCCCTCAGATGACTCTGGCGAAATCATCAAGGTTTAAGAGTCACGGATAAAGGTAATGCCTTTTCCCAGATGTCCACTTTTGATATTTGCCTCAGCCTCTGGTTTTTGGTATACTATCTTTAAGGAATTCACTGTATTGAAGTCTTCAGCTCTAGAGCTACAAAGACCAGTTTAAAGTGGCCACAGGTCAATTCTATATGTGAAGCATTCATCCTTCTCTTTAGAAATCTTTGGAGTATAGTCTGTTCCCAAGTAAACTAGTCACATTTCTTTTTCTGGCATGTATTTGGTGGGATATTTGGGCTTCAGAGACTCCAGAGGACACAGTCCAGTCTTTCAAGCTTAAATTGAACAGGGAGGGGAATCCCCCTCATTCCCCTCTGGGGGAGCCAGTTAGACATTGCATAACACTTGAGCAACTCTCAAAAGAAATCTCATTACTTTGCCTTCAACTCTTTTATAACCTTAAGGGTGATGATCTAAGAGAGTGAGAATGCAAAGCCAATTTTTGGCTGCTTTGCAAATCTTTGCAGGGAAAAAAAACCCAACTGAATCACATTATAATGTAACAAGATTTACAACATAATTTATATGTGTGTTGGAGAGGATTAAGGGATTTAAATTCCACTAAGAATCTTAAATTCTGACTTTGAAAGGATCTGATTTTACAGGTCTTTTAAAAGAATTTTGATGTGAACTATTAGTGGTCTGATAGTTACAAATTTAAAAGCTTATATAGTCTTTCAATCTTGTGATTGAAAGTAGCACTAGTGGTCTGATAGTTACAAATTTAAAAGCTTATATAGTCTTTCAATCTTGTGAAGATTAAAATACACCTCTGTACACCTTGTTATAGTGGATATTCCTGATAGATTGATTCCTCAAAATGAATATCTGGAAGAATAGCCTGTGTACCTCTTGAAATTACCAGTCCAGACTACAGAGATTCTGATTTCATTGTTCTGGAGTGGAACCCTGGAATTGGTTTTAAGAATCTCTAGATGACTTGACTGTGTAGTGGGTTAAAGGAATATTGCATTAGTCAGTACTTTCTATTTGAAATCGTTTAAGCAAAAAGATGAATTTGTTGAAAGGATACTGTGTTGTTACATGATCGAAGGATAAGTAGAACATCCAAACCATGAAGAGGACTGGGAGGGTCTCCAGGGCAGCCAGGACTCAAACTCTGTCCAGACCCCCACTCTGTTTCTCCTTTCTTCTTTCTGTTAACTTCATTCTCTTTATAACACAACTTCTTTTATGGTATCGGTGGAGAACTGCTGATCATTCCCAAATGTTAAGTCTTTCTGCACTACTATTTGAGAGTGGTCTCTCAAATTTAAAAAAAAAAAATTAAAAATAGGAAGGCTAATTAATCACCCTGGAGGGAGAAATTAGGGGTGGCGTTCCTGATTCCAACTGGGCCAGTCAGCTGGGTCCTGGGTCCCATAAGAATTTGACAGTCCCCAAAATGTATGGGGGGAGGTAGTCTTCCTCCCAGGGGAAAGGAGATGCTGAGCTGATCGTACTGTAGATATCTACTACAAATTAAGCACGTGTACATTTTTCTATATAAATAGCAAAAACAAACAGATTGTACTAATCTACATTTACTTCATCTGTGTGAGAATGGTCACCCCCATTTGTTCATGTATTCATTTAGTTAATGTTGTTCTCTCTACACTTGATACTGGTTTAGTTGCTAGGGGTTTGGAGAGTGGTGTAAAATGGAAGAAAGATGAACAAGAAAACAAGTGAGTTAATTTTTGAAGGTGTTAAGTTTATGCCTTAACCAGCCATTACAACACTCAGAGGAATTTTGTTTCCAACGACATTCCTATTGCCTGCTCAAAATGCCTAGACCAATTTATCTTCTCTTTTTAAATTATGTTTACATGTTCACATTTGTTAAGGGCTTTGGAAGGCAACTTCAACTGTGCTGTGTGGTATTTCAGAGTAAAGGCCTGTGCTAGTGTTACCAGAGAGCCACCCAAGTTGGAGGGGGCTCTCCCCTCCTTGGCTCTCGTCACACTCATGAGAAAGAATTATTGGGCTTTGAAGGTAGTGTTGAAGCAAAGCAAGCAAATTTATTAAGCAAATGAATTTGTTAAGAATACACTTGGCATAAAGCACAAGTGGGCAACTCAGCTAGTCTGAGCACCCTGACTGGTGGGGGGGGAGGTTCAAGGGTTTTACCCCCCTATAGATTTCATGGTTCCCCTGCTGGGTATCTTGGGCAACGGACTAGATTGTAAGGTCCCCCTTTTATATTGTGGCTTTTTCCAGAATGTATGAGAACATCTGGCAATTTTATCATGGCAAGCCCCAAGACTGCTGACTTCTTTGTTCAGTGAGTAGGATAAACTCCCCCTTTTTCCTTCCCTTCCCCTCCTCCTACCCTAGCAGCTATCTATCCTGCCTAACACTAGGTCCTGAGGTCACTGGAAACAGCATGTACAAGGGTCTTATGAGGAAATAAAAAGTTGGCATGATTTGGGTGAGAAAGGCTAGAGAAGCAGATAGAGGGCAGATTACAGGATTTAAAAGGCCAAGGGAAGGAGTTTGTTTTTTTCTAAATCTGATGGGAAATCAATAGCAAACATATAGGGCTTTGTCGACACTGTTCTAATTGCTACATACACAAAATCGTTTTATTCTCACAACAACCCAAAGAAATCAGTATGATTTTTACCCATATTACAGATGAGGAAGTAGTGGCTCTGAGAGGTTATCTAATTTACCCACGGTCACCAAGAGAGTGAATGGCAGAACTCAGATTGAAAAATTCTACCTTCAAAGCCCAAGCATTCAACCTCCATACTTGACCACCTCTTTGCTGCATCATATAAGTAATAAGTAGTGGAGCCAAGAGTAGAATTTAGTATTTGACCCTATAAAGTCCATACTCTGAGATGCTACGTGATTCTGGACTGAGGGAGGAAGAGATTTGTACATGGAAATTATGAGATCTCTTTGGATGTGTTAAGTCATTTACGTATTAGACTTCTGTGGGTATTTAAAGGAAATATCTATGTATCATCTCCACTTTGTGAAATTTAGGGTCAGTTTTGTGATTTTATGGCTACAAAGCACTTAGCATAATTTCTGGTACTTAGTGAACTATGAAAGGTCAACTAGTCTTCCGTTAAGTCTTTTGTCTTTGGCATCTAGAATAAAAAGTTTGAAGAACCAGTTTCAAATTGCAGTGTAATAAATCTAACAGTAAGTGGCACTCCTACCTTATGTTTCACAGTTGCAGCCAGGTGGCAGAAGAGGGGGATAAGATAAGGAAACTCAGAGGTTCTGTTTATGATGCTGAACTTCTTATTCAAGTGAGGATTGCTGCCTGTACCTGTCTGTGACCTTTTCAACTGGAGAGAACAGGGTATGAACTCCTCAAAATAATCAGCATTATGTTGTGAATAAGTGTCTTTTGATCTGAGCTTTTCTTCAAGGGCTGCCTAGACAAGACCTGGGAAGATCTCAGGCATTATATTGGTTAGTGAGTAAGACCAGATGCTTCTCACATTTGCTTAACATATGACCCAATTCTGTGAAGCTGCTGGCTCCCAACCCCCCATCCTCCACCCCAGGTTTGGAATAAGGGAAGACATTCAAAAGATGGGAGTCTGGTGAGGGGATGTGTTTGGCCAGGAATGCATTGTATCAGCACTACAAGGAAACGATGCCTTGTGGGTCTTGACTGATTTTCACATTCATTCAACAAATAAGGGGTTCTACTACTGATACCATGCAACCAATTAAGAGCCATAAGAATGAAGATGCTGATGTGGAAAGATATTCAGGATATGATAAAGCCAGTTGCTGGGTATAGTCTGAGCCCATATTTATGCCTGTCTATCTATGGATAGTCAAATTGGGAAATTATATAAAAATAATTTTATTGATGAGGAAATTGAGATTCAAATGTAACTTGCCATACATGAAAGA